ACCTTATGGTTACACGTCTATCCTCCAGCAGCGCTAACTATCACAGCGCGTTAATGCAAAGTCCCCCTCCTCTCCCATAATTTTATATTTCTATTCGCAAATTTGAAACACAATTCAGTTTTCGTCCAANAAAAATGAGTCATTAGTAGGATTTGTCGGAAATGAAATAAGACACTGCACAAACAATTCATTTCTAGTAGCTTCTTGTAAATTCCATTTACGGTCCACAATGCTAAAGAACTGTTGAAGTCATTTGTAATGTACCCAACCTTCGATGCAATGAGGCAAAATTATTGTACAATGAATTAGAATGAATATCATTCCGTATGCATAAAGCTGAAACAAAATCCTAACCTAATGCTCATGACCTTATCAAGAACATTAAATAACGGTAATATTAAATAGTAAAATTATAATGGCAACGACAATATGCTTATTTTAGTACGTCAATGCCGCAGTAAACTGTGCACTTAAGTAAGCTTCTGCAAGAAGAAATTAATCTGATCTACTGATTTCATTGGGTTGAATGCACTCTCCAACAGAACATTTCGAACTTATGTCCTCCACTTAATTAGCAACCTTATGCTCACAATCAGCTTTATTCCCTTACTTTGGATACGTGATAATCGTCACCGAACCGACACATTCTCCAATTTCAGTGAGCTCAGTTGATCACTTGAAGAGTTTGCAGGCGAAGTGGGAATGACGGTATAATTATACCAAAACCTATTAGGATGACACTTTNTGAAGAAGACCAAACAACCACAAATCATGGGATTCCACTTTCGGAATTCTACAAACTTAGTCATATCCAGTCTTCTCACCACTCTTCCCGTTCAATCGTTTAATTATGCGTGATCGGCCAGCGATCGATGCAGCTGTGTCTTAAGGTATTACTCTTGTAAAAGTCTGCGCACTATCTGAATTGGTTCACCCTGAAGGATGGATAAAATATATTTCAGTATGATAGCGCCTTCAATTTCGGACGAAGAAGCCGGAAAGTTAATATGATTGAAATGCAATGTATCAAATAATCATTAAAGATGGCATATTGATGTTCATATGTTGTTTATTGCTGCAGAATGCCAGTAAGGCGACTTCAACAGTATTCCTCCTCTCTGGGACTGTGTCTTAGGGCATTACTCTTGCGGAATTCTACAAACTTGATAGGCACCATCGTGTCCAATACATATATTTCCGTTTTTCGCTGCCTTTCTTGTACAAAAAATACGCATCCTGAAGTGAATATTCTTTCTTTCAGTTGCTTCTGCAAAGAAATCTGTCGGAGTTTTGGTTTTTCATAGTTGTTTCATTTTTATTTGTGAAGTAGGAACATGGACGGTACTGTGGTGATCTGAAAAGAAAGATTCTGATAGTTTTGGTGTTTGCACATATTCACCATTCAGTTCTATCATGGCTTGATGAAAAGGCTGATAGGATACGTTATTGCGTGGTGTAATGTGGCCTGATGAGCCGTACGGATGCCGATTCTGACAGCCGTTCAGTTGATCGTTGAGCATCCAGGCTCAGCTGAAACGGGCGCAACAACAGGAAGGTAACGTGATCTATCAACTGCGTGGCCAATATTGATATGGATATGAATGCGTTTGTATAGAGAACATTAAATAAAAAGGCACAATATGGAATATATGGGCGCATAACAGCATCATATGTGAACACCAGATGAAAGCGATATGCTATAAGTGTGATAAACACATAGGCATTAACTANTGTTGTCCCTCTAAGATACACTCTGAAGTAGGTGAAACACAAAATCTGAGGAGGAATATCCGAACAAGTAACTGAAAGCCGAAAGGCTACTCAAATGTCCTAAGATCGGAAGAGTGACCAGTAATACGTTGTGCTTATCCCTTTAGCCATTTGTTTGGTGCATACTTGTTGTTCACTAGATCTTTTGTTTATCGTTTTATTCATCCCTCCCTTCACCTATTGATCCACAGGCTATCAGGTCATCAGATAGCATCAAAACTGCGTGAAGGATGCCTGAGGAGGCCACGACGGCGGTCAACAATGATCCGAATTTGATCCAGAAAATTATTGCGAGGTAGGAAATTTAATTTTTTGGAGGAGTTTTAATGATGGGTTCTTTCGTTTTTCGTTGCCTTTCTTGTAGAAAAATGCATATCCTGACGTGAATATTCTTTCTTTCATTTGCTTCTGAAAAGAATTATGTCGGAGTTTTGGTTTTTCGCAGTTATTTCATTTTTATTTGCGAAGAAGGAACATGGACGGTATTGTGGTGCTCTGAAAATAAAGATTCTGATAGTCAAACGACTCTGATTTCCTGATTTCAATAGTTATCGAAAATATCATTCCGAATATCCCGAAATTTTCTTTAATTCTGAAACTTTGTTGATGTAGCTTCCGGCTCCTTATATATTATTAATTACTATTTGGTGAATGAATTCTCATATCTCAAACTAATCGCACTTTACTCTGAATCGCATCATTCGTTTGCAATGCCTATTTGCCCTATCATTAATGATGCACCATCGAAATTTTGATCTCCTCATGGAGTTTGGTCATTGTGGCAGAAATTCCTGCTTAGTATTGAACAAAAAATTAATAATTTCGAGAATTCACTATCGAAAAAAGTAATATCGTTGAGCATTCAACGAACATGACTGAATATGTGCAATATAAATTTTGACGAAATGTTCTTCAGCAAATGTGATTTCTCAGAAAACAAATGAATATAACCTCCTCTCAAACCATATCACCACTAAACTAATAAACTAAAAACAACAGCTGTTTCGAATGCAGAATGAGCAGAGGATATCATATGGCTTTCTGTGCGATTATTGCGAACACCGGCCAGGGCTGAGTCCATTCACACAGTTCTCTCGATGTTGTAAACTTTTAGCACCACACCGTCACAATCTTTATCCACTTTTGTTTGAGAATATGATTGGAGGAAACTTTTTGGGAGAAAATATCACGTGATATTATCATGTTTGGTACAGNAAAAAAAAGCAATAAAACTCAACTCATTGCTGCAGCTTTTTATCCATAATTCTAATAAAACTAATAATTCTGCTGAATTGTTCCATAATTCTACTGAATTGTCTCATAAAATGCACACGATCCAACAGCATAATTATGTTCACAACAGTTTTTTGATGCTTTTTATTCAAAAACATATTGATGTGCTGTATATGTGCTCTAATCTGATTGAAGAATACAATGAAGAGCAATAGCTAAGAGTCATTAAGTATCATTGAGTTGGTTGCAAACGGGTTGTTCCGACAATAAAGATTGGCTTTTATGGGAGACTTGCTTTCAACCAAGTGGCATCAGATGCTCAAAGTGCATCGTGTCGAGCACATGTTCCACACATGTGCTTCTCACGATAGAAGATGTTGCCACTGGAACAATCTGAATTGCAGATATGAGCACGAAGAGGATGAATTCCTGCGTGAATTGGACGATATGCAAGCTCAAGCTTCTCAACGATCGTCTCTGTGTGATGAAGCTCCAGTGCTGGGTGAGTTGTTGATCAATTAACGATCAAACCCATAAATCACTAAT